TATAAATATAATGAAACAATATAAATAAAAATAAAATTATCTACAGATATACTAATATGCCAACATAACTACGGAAAGCGTTTTCTTTTTATTTCGATAACGAGATGTAGTCACTTAAGCAATAAAATGTGTATTGGAGTAAAAACTGTTTGAGTTTTAACCTAAACTGTCTAAAGGTAGGGATATTTTTAATTGCGTCTGGTAATACATTAAAAATTTTGCAGCAGTGGTAAATTAAATTATTCTGGAATAATGCTGTCCTATGTTTACCAGGGTTTAGATTAGTTTTATGTCGGGTGCTATAATTATGTACAGGTTGAATAAAGCGAGTCTTATTTTTATACCCGAAGCAGCATATTTCCAAAATGTACGTGTCTACAACTGTTAATATATTTAATTCTTTAAAATATGATCGGCAGGAAGTTCTGAAGGGTAAATTGCAAATGGTTCTAATCGCCCGTTTTTGTAGTATCAGCACGCGTTGTACTTGAGCACTACCACCCCAGTTTACTATATTGTACTTAATGTGCGAGTGAAAGTTCGAATGATACAGGGTGAGAAGCGTAGATCTAGTGCAAAGATTTTTTAAAGCATTTAGCGAATAGCAACAATTTCGCAATTTTTTACATACGTTATCAATATGCAAGGACCATGTAACATCCTGACAAACAGTCAGGCCAAGTATTTTTGTCGACTCTAGACAGGTTAAGCCTCCAACTCCAAGATCTTTTGTGTTACAGATACTACGTGTACTTCCAAAAGGAACCAACACAGTTTTGTCCAAGTTAATAATCACTTTATTATTAGTGCACCATCGGTGTAGTTTATCCAGCGTATGTTTTATTATAAAAGTAAGATCAGACGTTGTTTTTGCCTTAATTAAAATGTTAGTGTCGTCAGCGTATGAAATGACGGTTATATTCTTACTATTGTTATTTTCCACAAGATACGGTACAAGGTCATTGCTATATATTATAAACAATGTAGGGCCTAAAATTGAACCCTGTGGTACCCCTGACAGTATAGTTAACGCGTCACCACGTTCACCACTTGGCAGTTCTACCTTCTGCGATCTCTTGCACAGGTACGATTTAAATAACTCAAGAGCGGTGCCGCGAATACCGTAATGATACATTTTCGCAATTAAAGTGCTGTGATTTACGGTATCAAACGCCGCTGAAAAATCAATAAAGAGACCTGCAACTAACATACGACGATCCACAGCAGAAATTACTTCGGTCATAAAGTCATATAAAGCCGTATCGGTTGATCTATTTTTTATAAAGCCATGTTGAGCACTACTAACGATTTTAAACGTTGTTAAGTAGTTGGTAAGTTGTTTATTTATGACAGACTCAAAAACTTTGGAAAAACTTGATAAAAGGCTAATTGGCCTATAATTGCAAACGTTACCTGGATCGCCCTTTTTGTAAAGCGGTTTTACAACTGCTCCTTTCAAACGTTCAGGGTAAACACCAGATTGAAGTGTCAAGTTTATTATATAACATAACGGTTCAGCTATCAAACGGTCGACTAATTTTAATATATTATTGCTAATTTCATCTTCTCCGAACGATAATGAAGATTTCAATGAACAAATAATGGAGACTATATCCCCAGTGATAAGTGGAGTGAAAAACATTGAATGCGGGAGGGGTGAAGAAAGTGAGACATTTACATCACAAGATTTACTTTTGCGATCATAAAACCGTGTGAAATGAGAGGCAAACATATTAATCGCTTCCCAGTTAGGGACCTTTACTCCCTCTTTGAGAATTGTAATTTCCGTGGGTCTTCTTGACCTTCCATTTAAAGAATTAATGATATTCCAAGTCATTTTCGGCTTGTTGGTTGCATTTTTCAACTTAGAGTCCAAATATCGTTTTTTGGTTATAACGAGCTGTTTCTGATAAAGCGAATGATATTCTTTAAACATATTTTTAAAGATGATATATTTTTCAGATAGGATCTTAAGGTCTATAACTTTTTGCTTAAGTTTATGCAGTTCGGGTGTTAACCAAGGAAGAGTGGTTCGTTTTTTTTGTTTATGTGGAAGTAGGGGAAAGTTTAAATTAAAATGATACATAAAAATATGGAAGAAATAATCAAAGGCTTGTTCGGAGTTTCTGGTAGTATAGACAACCTCCCATCAGTGCTCTAGTGAAAGATCATATTTAAATTGCTCTTTATTGGTATCTGAGAATACCCGACGCTTACGCCGAATTGGATGAATGTTTTCTAACTTACTCGGGCTTTCTATAGTCAATAGCTGACCATAGTGATCTGATACCCCCAGGTTGATATTATCTACATGGAAATTTAATGTGTGTGATATGAAAACATTATCTAGGCA